CTAGTTTATTACCCAGACTGTTCTGTAATAGCAAGTATAACGTTTTCATTAATTCACAGAAAATGTCATTTTTTTCTGTGGACTCACTGTAAAAAAACTACAAACATAAAAAGAAACCAGATAGTTGTGTAACTGATGGCGGAAAAACAGGAATATTTATATATCCATATATAATGGATTCAATATATAATTGAATCCATTATTATTATTTCTCATTAGTTTAGGTGTAGTATGAATGGCACTTGGGGCTTTATCAATAAGAAAAGCTGTGAAACTTATGAAAATACATTTAAAAGTTAAAAATCTATAAACTCCTTCATATTATCTAAAGATGTACAGTGGGCTGGTTTAGAGTCTTTGTTGGGTCGATTCTGGCCCCCGGACTTTATGTTTGACACCCCAGATTTACAGTATATGGAGTTTTTCCTGGCGATGTGACTTTTTTACTGCATTATTTTCTGTTTGTATTTTCTTGTTACTTTCTATCTATATTTGCCTATTTGACATGAAACAGTCAACCCCGTGGCGTCAGGTTGTCGCTGTAGTTCCAGACACTTCTCGGGCGTCTCATTCGGGGGCAATGATCTGGTCTCATCAAACAACAGCTCCACTGCGTGAAGGCACGGATATTTGGCAACACAATCATTGCTCACGGCACAACCTACTCACCAAATTGCCTCTCTATCATTTTTTCGTCTTCCCCGAAGAAGTGTGGCATACGCACAAGAACACAAGAGGACAGAATGGGATTTTTAGGTAGGCACCTATAAATAGCAGCGGCACTGAAATCAGCACAGAGATGGGCAAGAAAATGATGTTGAAGGGAAAAATGGGCAAATTAAAATTGGACATGGTTTCTGTTTTGATGTAACATTTTCTTGAGCCGGGTCGTGGAACGTGCTCCACACGTAGTTCGTTTTCTCCAGCTGCTATTTTTCTTATAATGTTCTGCTTTATACAGGATATTCTATCATTTGCTTGACACACGTTTTGACTATGTTAAATATAGAAATGTTGAGAAACTGCAGAAATAGAGCTGATTAGTGCCCAACCAAATCTTCTGCTGGTTATTTGATTTGTTTTGATCATTCTCGGGCCTTGATCGCGTAAACAAAAGGTGCCCAATGCAAGTCATGATCAGAAGCAAACGCTAGAGCAGGCTCCAGGTTATTATGCATGGAAATAAAATCAGAATCAAACCTGCTGCTTCCTTCAAAAGCATTATATTTAAGACTGCTGATATAAGTCAGAAAATCCCATGAAATAAAATCACATTTCCTCAAGTGACAGCTCATTTCTCTTTATTGACAGACACAGGCAAACAGAGTGAAACATACTTACAATTTCTCAAATATTTTCGACTGGTGTGAACCAGAGCCATTACTTCTTCATAAAGGACCAGTGGTTGTTGAGCTGCAGTAATTATATATGAGAGGCTTTGGATCAATAATGGATGTGGTGCATTCTGCAACACTGTCTGCATAGAGTCTCACTATAGACACGGGTTCAGAATGGATGAGATGGGGGAATAAGGTCCACTGATCTGCTACAGTGCTTTTAAATGTCACCTCATCAGGTGTGTTGTGATTGCAATATGTTGCACGGCAGTTTTTAAAGGATTTCACTGGTGAAGTTTCTCTGTGTGAACGCTGAGTTTGAAAGATGCTGTTTTTCAAATATTATGTCTCCGCAGCCCTCTGTGCCGGCTGTTCAGCTTCAGCTCTTTCCCCGTCTTTAGAAGTTGTTTTGGCATAATTTTTGTGACTTTCCATCCAGCAAATTTGTCAGCAGTGGGTCAGCTCGTGCAAACACACGTCCCTGAGGCAATCTTCCTGGAAAGCATCGGTCAGGAGATCACCTACATCCTGCCCTACGGAAGAGCTAAAGATGGGACCTTTGGCACGCTCTTCCGAGAGCTCGACCGAGCCATGGCCGACCTTGGCCTCACCAGCTATGGCATCTCGGACACCACCCTGGAGGAGGTAATCTAAACATGGGACTGACGGCCTTGTGCATATGTGTCATTTTTATAAATTCACTTTGCATCATATTGTTTCTATTTAAAATCTCCTTACTAATTTCATAGCAATTTGGAAATATGATGACTTTATTTTGCTAGGAAGCTACAGGCACTGAAATAGAGAAAAACAGAGCAAAACCAGTTTGACTAAGAGTTCAAACTGTGTGGTCAAACCTTTTTAGCTTGTTAGAATTTCAAGCTTTTATTGTCATTTCTTTAAGTAGTCTTCAGAAAAGTACTGGCTGAAATTCAGCCCCAAACCACGACAGAGCCTCCACCGTGTTTTACAGACGGGTGTAGTCACTCACTGTTGTCTCGCCTGACCTCGATGTACAAATTTTGGATTCATCACTCCAAAATTTGGACAAGACAAGACTCGGCTGTCCATCTGCATCTTAAGGACAAAGGTCACTCTTTCAAGGATGCCAATGTTCACATTTTGGACAGAGAGGACAGATGGTTTGAAAGAGGAGTGAAAGAAGCCATCTATGTCCACTGTGAGCGACCATCTTTGAACAGAGGCGGTGGTTTACGACACCAACTCTCTGCCATCTATAATCCAGTTTTGAGATCCCTCCCCAGACGCCTTAACGCCTGATAAGGTGGGGCCAGGTTTCACAATGAGCTCACCCGAAACTCTGGCTGATTGGGACCCACACCCAGTTCCACACCTTGGCTCAGGCGATTAGAGGATCATCAGGGGGTCCTTTTGTCCCTCTGTGGGGGGACACTCCCACTAGGTTTAAATCTGGGACTCTCCACCATTTGACCTTAGAACTGAAGAAGCTTCTCGGATGAGAGGTGAAACGTCTTCAAGCAACTTAAAGAAGTCCAGACGCTTTTCTTTTCAAGCTCCTTTGACTACGATAACCTGGATGACTGAGAACCTTCACAGACGATTCATCACTCCGTCAGACTGATTGTAATTTGGCGTATTCGAGCCTTTTCTTCTCGTTTCCCTTCTTAACATCCACTCTCCCGCTTAGACCATTTCTGATGAGGCTTCAGAGGGATCAACTGAAGGGTCAGATGCCATTTTTTTAAGAATTTGTTTTTGTTAGGAGCCCTGCGACAGATTGGCTACCTGTCCAGGGTGTACCTTGCCTCTCGCCCGATGGATGGACTTTGTAAGGCTTCTTTTGTCCTCTGTTTTTGAGGACATACAGTTTCCCCATCAAACTGTGTTATCTTTAGTATTTTCTCATAGATTGCACTAAATAAATTTTTGAAAATGATGTTTTTGTGACAGAAAAAAGGAACAGCACTGGCTCATCCATTGAGTTGTGCCTGAATGATTCATAGGTCAGTGTTAAGAGGATCAAGAAACCAAACATTCCTCTGAAAATGTTCAGAGGAAAGGACTGGACGGAAAGTGAGCGAAATAGCAGCCAGTGTTCAAAGAGGAACTTTAAACCTTGAAAGCAAAATATAAAGAAAAGAGTGGTGGCTCAAGACTTCTGCACAGTACTGTAGTAGAACTTTTTTTGTCTTTTTCTTCTCAGTGATAATGGAAAAAAATGATTTGCAGACATTTTGTAAATCTCACCCAAAACAAGTAAACACTATAATAAACGAACCTTTTTACGTTTTAGCCAATAACCTGAGCTGTGGGTCTATTATTCACTCTTTCCTTCAGATCCTGTTAGTGATTTCTCTTTCTTCTACTAAGACACCGTTAATGATGAAAACCATATCTAATTTTAGAGCAAACAAATTTGTAGTGATTGATAAATTTTGGATGAATGCGGTTTTAACCAGACCAACACTAGCCTGCTTTCTAAAATTCCCCAGCGCGGTTTGATCGCCATTAGATTTTCCTCACATATTGTCCTGCTCCCTTCCTCGTTTTCACGTCATACGCTTTTTTCAAAACCATGACTCACCATCATGATATAAGAAAAAAATAATAAAAGACTCAAGCATCATTTTACTTGCAGTTGCAGAACGTTTTTACTTTCTCTTTGAACTAATATGTAAGCGTCATATTGTAGATTGCAAATCAATGTTCCCCAGAAGCACTGACCCATAAACAAATGACTCAAGCAGCATGTTTGCCACGCAGGCATCATAAAGCCGAGTGACTCTTCCCTAATGCTCTTCATGTAAGGCCGACATGCATTAAACACTCACGGCCTGCGGGCGATGTGAATAATTCCTTTTGAATTCCCACAATTCAGCCACGCCATGGTTATTTCATCCATCCATGTTTTCTTTTGAAGTCCAAACGCTCTGAAACACGCAGTTATTCGGTACGTGTGAAAATAAAACAAGAACTGACAAGGCATTGACGTTAATAAAGTAACGCATAAAAATAATATAGCTTTTCATACTGCTTTATGATGTCAGAGCTTGTATTTGGCACCCCCTGAATAAAATAATTCAACACATCAAATAACATTCAGTCTCCCAGCAGCGTGCCTTTTGAGAGGTCAAATGATGAAACGTAACCTAACTCGTACTCCCAAAAATGCTCACAAATAGGGAGAGTTATTTATTTCGCTGTGTAACCTGGATTCATAAATAAAGTCAAGGAGGGTGCTTCGCTCAGAAACTCCACTCGGCAGGTGTTCAAGTAAAGGTTGTGATCTCTGGATGCACATCTGTGATCTGATTCTGAACAGAAACCTTAGATGGAGCACAACATATGTAGAGGTTTATTTGTTAAGCATATTTTTGATTTGTTTATTAGAAAAAAAATAGCCACACAGTCGCTCAGTTAATGCTCCACAACTGCAGTATCATAACTTTGCATTTATAGATAATGTGCCTAATATGTTCTGTTTTTTACAGATATTCCTTAAAGTGGCGGAGGACACTGGAGTGGATGCAGATATACCACGTAAGTGGACCAATAAGATTAAACACATCAACAAACTATAAATGTATGATTGTCAGTGTTAATGCATTGAAACATTCTGTCAAATAAACAAAATACATTTCTGTGAGGGGCGCTTGAGTCAAAATGGGATTGTTATTCCATCTGTAGTGATATATTTTTAGTAGAGTGGCTTTGCTCAGGGCCTCTCCACTCGTCTACATGAATGTGGAAGGCCTGAAGGTGTGGAGAGCACAAGTGTCACATTCAGTGTGTATGGGATTGCTTTTTGGAAATGGCGTGAATAGTATAAACTGGAGGAGCTGAGTGGGTTGCAAAGCAGCTTGCAGAAGCAGCAGCAGCTCTGCAGTCTTTCTAGGCCCAACTTTAATGGCCTCATATGAGATTTGCAAACAGGTTGCCTGAAGTGATGCTGCGGTTAATGCGTACACCCACCTTGTCCCAAATACATCAAATATGGCTGCTGTTTGAAAACTAGTGGCATCTCACAGACACCCACAAGGTGTTTTTTGGTATGACTGTGATACCAAACTAGATTGTGGCAATAGTGAGATGGCGCTTACTACCAACTTGGCACGTATGGATGCTTGCAAGGGAACCAGTGAGTGAAAGGAGGAGTAAAAATACTGCAACTGCTACCTTTTAGCCTCCTGGTAGTTTGACCTGTGGTATGAATGTGAACATTCTAGGTCACCTCATTGAGTTATCGCATTCACAAGATTTACAGAAAACTTGCCCTTCTACCTTCTACGTGAGGTTGAGGTCACTGAGATTCAAACTTATATGAGATTTTTCGTGGATGCCCGTGTGGTATGAATTGAAAATCCTACGTCGACTTGTTCTCAAGTTACGCATTCACAAACTTGGGTGTCCACTCCACTGCAGTGGGCAGCGACGACAATACCCCATCGACCTTTTATGGCTAACGGGGTAAAAAGCATTTGAGAATGAAACGAAGCATATACAAACTCCAAACAAGGACACAACCCTCAGTCTCCTTGATGTCAAAGCTCTCAGCCAAATCTTCAACTTCCAAATGTGGACTTTAAAGACGACCCTTGGAGTCAAGGCCCCGACACCCAGGGGCATCATTTACACCAGCAACATGTAACAGGACTGGCAGTTCTTCATGCCTGGAGATGAGAACACCTTAGAACGAGCCCTGAATGTTATAAACAAATCAGCCCGTTTGCAGAGTAATTCCACTTCAAGCTTTTAACGTCTTTTGATGAAACAACAATTTTTATGCCATCGCTAAAGGAAGTTTTTGACACTGACACAGCAGGAAAATAAATAAACTCATCAAATATAAAGCAGCAAGCTTTACTTATACAAATGCAGAATATGGTTGCCACACAAGGCACGTCTGCATTGCCTTTAGCTTTTATTAGCGATGCTGCTTAATAACTAGCCATTTGGTTGAATTACGTAGACCCATTTAGGTAGCTGTAAAAGCAGTTTGCCAATCAGAACCTGGCATTTGAAGCAGATCCTGGCTCCAAAAAGGCCATTTGATTTTGGTGTCCATCCTCTAGATGCATTAATCAAAATGAACCAACAAAGCAGCCTAAAGCAGGATTTAATTGCTGTGTGTACAGGTCTCAGAAATCAGCACGACTGCATTAATGACGATGAACTAAGCGCACGTTCACTGGCTTCTCAGGCCACGAGTCACTTTTATAGCAGTACTTGCAAAAGATGACTCAGATGTAGGTAGAAGTTATTTTCCTTGGTTTGGGTTCGTCTGCTCCAGTAGAGAAGGACGACTGAAATAAAAAAAAGACACGGCGCTTTCCAGCTCTGCTTTCATGTGTCACTGATTGACCTCAATGGGTAAATCTCCCGTTCCCATCTTTTCACAATTTTTGTTTGCAGCCATTGCCGAGCAACCTCACTCATCGGCCTAATCTCAAAAAATCAGATTTCCTCGTGTTCCTGAAACACCTGGGTTTGTGCTTTTGCAGGGAATAATATGGCGTCTTGCAGTGCAGGTTGCTGTTCTTATTGTTATTTATAACCCTAAATTGGGTCAGGCCATAACAACATATCTTATTTGTATTCCCACAGCGACAAAGGAGCTGTTTGTGAGAGACAGCAAAAGAAGGTCCCGCGAAGCCAAGAGGAACAGCATTGCCAGCGTCCACTCAAAAACTGAGCAAACCACCGGGAAGAGTGGCAAGTCCTTCAAATTTATCACAGATTATTTTTTTTAAATTAGGCAAACATAGATTTATTAGCAATATTTCAAATTTAAGAGTTTTAAAAGCTCATTAAATGAACTGCACTTCCTGTTTAAATCTTGGTCTTTTTTTTGTTTCTCATCTAGAAAAGTTCACAAGTAAAGTTGAAGGTAAATACTCGTAAATACTTGATCTTTACAACTATTATTTTTTTCACACGACATCCTTTGTTCCTCAGTTATTAATTTGATTTAGTTTGGCTTCAGTTTGATTGTTTCCCCTCAGGTGAGACAGCATAATACCAAGAAAAACTCACTTTCAAGCAGGCTTCCCTTTCACTACACATTATCTCACCTGTCTTTCACCCCTTAAATGTGTGACTTGCATCACAAAACTGGCCTTTGATTCAAGATTTTTTGTAAATTTTCACAGTGAATCCTGTAAAAAATAGAAAAGTGCTTCTTAATAATGAAAATATGTAAAACAAAAGGTGTCCACGGCCTGTGTTTGTCTGTGTTTTCCTTTTGAGCCACGCCCAGATACATGAAATGAGTAAAATTGCCACTTTGAGGAATGAGCTAGTGCTGCTGGCCAGTTTAACACTTAAGTTATATTTGATCAGCCCATTAGTGATGCTGAAAAGCCTGCTCAGCAGATCTTTTACATAGGCATAGATGATAAATAATGCTGAAGGTTAACGTCTATTCCAGACATAAGGAAGAGCCCCAGTGACAGCGGGAGGGGATCCGCGGTCATCACCGGATGGAAGCTGATCAGACAGCAGTTCCTGGCGCTCTTTATTAAGCGCTTCCACCACGCCCGAAGGAGCCGCAAAGGACTCATTGCCCAGGTAATGGCCTCAGTCTGTCATATTGATGGATTGAAGGGTTATGCTAGTAGGGTTGCATGGGAGGATCAAGGTAGGATTGCGCAAAATACATGTTAGCTTTCAAAATCAGTTAATGGCATACGTGATAGAGTGAGCTCATTTAAAACCTGGATGGAAGACTCATCCATCTTGATGGAGTCAATAGTTACGGGGTTTAAAATGTTGGGAGAGAAATCGAAACTGACGGCGGAATATGAGCGTTGAAAAATGTGAACGGCGGCGTCCAGGATGATGTAGCGTCGTGTCAGTAAAGTGCATGGCCGATGATCATCTCTATCTCCCCGACGGCACACGTGGGTGTACCAAAAGCACGCCCAGAGGACAAAAGTCACGCTGCGATTGGTGCTGTGGAGGAGGTTTGAGTGTTTGGATCCAATCAGTCAGTTTCTGTAACTGGAAAAGTCAATATCCGAGTCCAGGTATATATTTTTCAGTCTCAGCGTCGCACTTTGAAAGAACAGCACGTCTGCAGGCAGGAAGCCGTGAATCCGTTTGTGTGCTGGCTTCACTTAGCGCCATCAGTTTCACCTGATCGCCCTGATTGGCACCAGAAAGCCAAAGTGACACCCATGATTTGTTTTTCCTTCATTCCACTGCGTGCTAATCATGTGTTTTCATTAGCCACGTATTAAATGCGATCTCATAACAATTACACAGACGACAGATTGCCGTTAGCTTATTAAGTGTATGTCTATATTATTTTGCTCCTCATAAACATAATTTCAGAAGTCAAAACCAATAAGCAGACGTAATTTAAACAAGTCAAAACCAATTTCAGTAAACAGCAGTTTTCCAGGTACTTCATTGATTATTTTCTCAACTTGTAAAAAGTGTGTTTTGACCTAAAGTGTGCTTGCGCTCACACGCGCGCACAAACTCCTTGCGTACGTAGACGTCGTGCCGTTGCATCATATGTGACAGCAGCCGTTGTGAGGAACTAACCGTAGCTGAAAACTAAAGCCTGCAGCTCATCCTTTCCTGTGTGAGAGGAAGGAGGAGAGAGGAGGAGAGCGAGCAGTGTTTCACCTTTCCGAGGTGCGGGCTCTTCTTGTAATTTGCTGCAGTACCAGCCCCCCATTAGTCACTGTCAATCTCGGACGTCCCTCTTTAGTGGGGACGCAGAGCAGGAATAGAAGGATAAGTGTGTGAAAGCGGATGTACAAGGGAGCACATTGTCTGCAAGGGCACACCTCACGGCGCTTCCTCTTTATTCATTTGGTTAAAGGGTTTCTTCCCCCCCACCCCCGCCCTGTCATGTCAACAGCTCCCATTGTCAGCAGATATGATTGTGTAGTGAGGTAATCTGCTCCAATACAAATGGTTAGGGGAATACAAAAGAGATTACGGTGAGAAACACAAAAGGAGTGATTTATGGGGCTGGAAGTTGGGGACGGGTGAGTCTTGGCAGTGTCAGGATCGGGCAGAGGCGGTTATTGGTTACGTTGTGGCGCCGAGGACTTGAAGGCTTCTCGTGTTTGAGGCTCACTCTGAACTGAACTGACTGCAACTCCCCATTTAAGCACTAACAGGAAAATAGTTGATAAAGTATTAACTTGTTCAGTTTAACTGTGTTTTTCTTTTCGTTTAAAGTTGTGGATATCAACTTTTATTAGCAATAACAAGCACTTTAGTGTGCTAATCTTATACTGGGGCTTGAGCTTGGTGCAGTTCATACCCTTTATTTAATGTTCTTCTGATTCGCAGCCCCTCTAAAACAGAAGACTTGAAGAGTATGTAGGACACAAAAGTAGAAAAACAACAGTCTAAAACTGCACATTTACAGCAGCACAAAGCTTTCAGTCCACAAAGATTACATGTAAATACACTGATTTACATCATCTGACGCTTCAGCCATGTGTTAATATGAATATCCACCACTGTTTATATGTATATAGACTCATTGGCTTTATTAGGTGTATCTGTTCAGCTGCTTGTTGATGCAACATTAATATTAAGCCGATCACATGGCAGCAACTCAGTACGTTTAGGCATGCAGACGTGTTTAAGCCGACCTTCTGAAGTTCAAACTCAACTTTAGAAGGAGGTGCTTTAAGTGACTTTGAAGGTGGCGTGGTCGTCGTGGGTGCCAAACGGACTGGTCTGAGTAGTTCAGAAACTTTCAGAAACTGCGGAGCACAAAACCATCTCTGGAGTTTACAGAGAATGTTCTGAAAAAGAGAAGTGAGCTGCGGATCCATGGGAGAAAATGCCTCGTTGATGCCGGAGGTCAGAAGAAAATCAGACTGATTTAAACCGAGCAGTCAATGCAACAGCCGCTTGTTACAACCAAGGTATGCAGAAGAGCATCTCTGAGCCTTTAAGCAGATGGCTACAGCAACAGAAGACCACACAACGGGTGACACTAATGTCAGCTAAGAACAGAAAACTGAGGCTACAGTTTACAGTTAATAGAAGGCTGGAAAGACGCTCTATCTGCTTTTGATTACCACTGCGAGATAAATAAATAAACACAAAAGCATGGATCCGTTCTGTCTTGTATCAATGGTTCAGGTGCCGATCTTCTGACGGATACTTCCAGCAGGTAAAGCCTAACCATCTCCATCTGGATTCCTAAACATGACAATGAGTTCACTGCACTCAAATGACCTCCACAGTCGCCAGCTCTCCCTCCAACAGAGCACCTTTGGGATGCCCTGAAATGTGAGATTGACATCGCAGATTTGCAGCAACTGTGCGACGCTTTCATGTCAACGTGGACCAAAATCTCTGAGGAGTGTTTCCAGCACCTTGTTGAATGTTCGCCAAATGTCTAACCCTGTACTAGCAAGGTGTACCTAATAAAGTTACTGTATACCATGGAAAACAAGGAAAAACATAATATCCCTCTTTAAGACTACAGAAAAATATTCAATGAGCTGCTATTATCCACTTTAATGCAAGCTGTGGCATTAAATTTATTATTCATCAGTGTAATTGGATTGACACGAATGGTTGTTTTGTAATGAGGCTTTTGACTTTGCTGCAAAAAGAAACACACACACACACACCACAACACAACACATCTTATTCATGTTGTGTTTTTACCCATTTTGCATATAATCCCATCCTCTACTTTAAATCCCCTCCAAACTTGAGAATGCGATAAACTCATGCATTGTTCATGTGAGTGCTTTGGCTTTGTGAGCATAATGACTTCTCTCTGTTTTTTTGCCGATTTCTCTCAATGGAAGAAGTGCCAGCTGTCACCTGCAATTACTGCCGAGAGAGGGAGGGAGAGCGAGGGAGCAACAGAACAAGAATAGTTCCTTCTCTCTGCGGTCTGCCATTAAGCTTTTCAGTCTCATTGCTGCTCTTTATCTTCCCTCCAAGCACATTTCCGTGGCCATGGCTCCATGTAGTAAATTCAGGATTTCAATTGTAGCATCTTGAATTGGCCTTGCAAATTTCATGCCCCGCAATTAATCAAGTGTGTGCAAACCTCCCCTTTGCTGCCGAGCGCACCCCGACCTATGAATGATTAAACAGTAAAGATATCCCGCACTTTTTCCCCCCCACACAGACCTTTTCGTCAGCTCTAACAATATAATGAAAAGCAAATTACATGATGAAGAAAAGAGGATTTGGAGGGTGGTGGGTGGGGGGTAGTATTGTTGCAGCGTCTGTTTTTTTTAAAAACACACACACACAGACACACACACACCCTCAAGACAAGAGAATTGCGAGAAACTAATTACATCAGAGTGGCCAGATGATGGTGGCAGTGTTGGAAGTGTTTAATCAAACTCATAAAGCATGGAGAAGTGCCCAAACAAGTTGGCGGGGAGCATATTAATATGCATACATTATTGCGTCGGTGCCCCGCCGCTGTAGATCGCATCAGTCCGGACCACGCGCCACGTGGAATGTAATAACAGCGCGGCGGCTCGGTGGAGGCGCGGCGGTGAAATCGATCTCTCGTCGACCGTTCCGAGTGCATAAAACGCTCGCCTGGGTCGCACGTGCAGGGATCCTAAAACGATGCATAATAATGATTGTTTGTATTTGTTTAAAAGGAACGTGGCTCCGATTCCGTCCACCCGCTGCCTGCTGTGACGTTATATTGGCGATAAAATGAATCCAACTCGCTTCCTGCATCTGTGCAGGAACTGTGCAGCACATCCATGATTAAATGGAACTTCAAGGCTTAAAATTTAAAAAAAAAAAAGAGGAAGCATGAAGGATTTGTGTTTCTGATTTTGCTCGAGAAACTTTGGCGAGTTGTAAAACTGTTTCAGTTTCGTTACTTTCTCCTTTTTTTATCTGCTGCAATTATTTCCCTAGACTTCAGCGAAATCTGTTTTAATTGATTTCTGTTACATTTTGCTTCAAAAGAGCTTCAGATGTAAGATAAATGTCTGGGGCAGAGCAGGAACTGTTAAAAGGAAAACAAAGAAAGTCGGTTTTTTTGACTGTTAAATTTGTCACCATCCTCCTAGGTGGTCTTGCCTGCTTTTTTTGTCTGCCTGTCTCTGATCTTCTCCCTCATCGTCCCGCCGTTCACCGAATTTCCACCCCTGGAGCTCCAGCCCTGGATGTATGGCCTGCCTCAAACCACCTTCTATAGGTAACGTGTTTAAGATGTAGTAATGATTTGTGGTTTTTCTTCAGGTATCAGTTAAAATGGCGTTTTAATCGAGTTCACCCCAGATTCTAATTTAGATTTGAGCCTTAACAACAACTTGTGATTTATTTTAGATTTTTTTTTTAAGTTTAGGAGATACTGCTGCTGAATGATGTCATACAACAGTAACATCAGTAAGGTTATTGCCGTTTCATGAAACCGAACCAACGTGATTTTCACAGCGAAGGAATCTTCTAACAAATGATCTGTACTGTTATCAGAGGCAGATGGGGTCTGAATAATTTAAGGGAGCAGTGGGTAGTTGTAATAGCAGACATGGTTGAGTAGATAAACAAGACACTGCAACTGTGTAGGAAAGTTCAATTTCAAAGATGGAAAAATCAAAGCACAAAAAATACAAAAATGTTACAGAAACAGGCCTCGCCGTTTTATTTCTGAGAGATGATCTCGCCAAGGACGTCGATCTGGACACCGCCCGTCCTCGGCTGCCGTTCAGCATCATTGCAAATGAATGGAAAAGCTTGTGACAAGGCCCGGCTCCAGTGGACTTTGAAAGCACTTCAGGAGGCGCGTGCGGCGCGCTGATATGCACCACTGTAAATCACTCCATCTAATATTGCTGTTTTGGTGTTGTTACCACAGCGCCCATTGTAAGCGGATCGTGTAAATGGACTGGTGCTTATATAGAGCTTCTCCTCTAATTGAGCTCTCAAAGCACATTTCATTACAAGCCCCATTCACCAAATCACACACACACAGATCCATACGGTGCTCTATGGCCCCAGCACCTGGACTGAGCCGGGTGACTCGGGTTAGATGGCCTCTAATAACTCCTGAGCCACAGCCGCCCACGGTGATGTCATAGCTTTGCAACTTTGGGGAAGGAGGATGGAAAATAATTGCAGAAATATTTTTGGAAGTCAGGTGAGGTGAAGTGAAAAGTAAATGTTGCCTTTGGACTTAATTTACCATTTTTTGTCTTTTATTATTATTATTCTCTCCACTTTACAGCTTTTCTTTTGTTAGTTTTAGGCAACAGTAATACTTAAATTATGGAACAACCCATGCTTTTGAATAGATTTGTTAGAAAAGCCTGAAGGCGTACTGAAGTATTTCTCCAATTTTCTTTTCCCCCCGACCGAGCCTCAAGGATGATGATGATGATGGTAGCGGTGATGAACTGGTATGGATTTTATAGTTAAATACCTCCACGTTCACACCAGTAAAGTCAAAATTGCTGTAACATGACCCTTTCGATGTAACAACTGCAACAATTTAATCAACATTTGCAGCTTCTGTCAAGGCCAGCGAACTACTCGTAATTCATCCCGCGCTCCTGTAACAAAGAGGTGTTTGTTAGTTATTCAGCCTACAGGTGTTTCCAACTGAGGCACTTTGCGGAAATTCGCTCAGAGGATATCAAGGCATAATAGGTAATAAGTGTTGCCTCGTGAGAAAGTTGCTCGTTCAAGACAGAAACAAAACTGTTGGTCGGAGTGAAGATATGATGTAATATAGAGACGGCATTCTAGTCATCTAGATCATAAACTTTAGATTTTAGTTCTGTTTTATTTCCGTCACCACTAACTGAAACATTTTAATGCTCTTTTGCAGCAGAATTTTATGGTTGCTTTCATAACACTTTATGTAATTACAAATGACACTTCCTGCAGATTCAGTTTATATGACTTACTTTACCCTCCTGCATCAGTTTACTCTGCTACGTTTTGTGCTTTGTGCTGCTATTAAGTAGACGCACGTCTTTCTTTAGACCTCAGTTTTGGCATCACATGCTGGACAGGTTAAATATATAAACAGGCATTTTTTTTTGATGATTTCTGATGAGGTGGGGTAAACTCTGGACAGATCAACAATTTGTATAGAGAGACACACAAGACACACCTACAGCCAATTTTGAATCGCCTGTTAACCAACATGCACATCTGTGGACTGTGGGAGGAAGCTGGAGCACCTGGAGTGATTTCACTCAGGCACAGGGAGACCAGGGAAACTCCACATGGAAAGGCCCTGGCAGACTGGTGGGCTGTGAGGAGAAACAGCTAACCCTTTTTCTAGTTTTCATGTGACCTGTCCAGGATGTACCCCAAGTGGATAGATGGATGGAGTCACCAGAGTCTTCTTAAAACTTAAAACTGACGGCATTGTTACCAGCAGCCCTAGAACTTGTCACCGCACTGAGAGCTGCTAATAAGTCATTTAAAAAGTCTTTTAAAATGTACAGTGAGGTTTTAGGTGATTCTCACATACACGAAAAGCCATTTAAAAAGTGCAACTGAACCATTTATTCTTTTTTTTTGTTTTTTGCCTTTGCCAAAATGCAGTGCTGTCTCTCTCCGTGGTCCTGAAACAGACCTAAGTGTGAGTCTCGCTCTGTCCATGGTGCTAATTCATTCAAGTCTCTTTCCACAGTGCTGAAATCCAAAACATGCTGTATAAAATAAAAAACAAAAACAAAACATGATTTAAATGTGAAGTGACTTTTTTATTTTTAAATATATGCTCATTTAAAATTTTAACAGTTGGGACATTTGCTCTGTGGACCAACAGGTTTTTTTTTTCTATTCTGTGTCGTCACGTGGCCTTCATTTGACTTTCTGCAGTTATCTTCAGTTCATCTATGCTGTGTCATTTTGACTAGATAAACTCTTCATTAGTTCCGCTGTTTCTGTGTGTATGCACAAGTCTTCGTTTTACAACCGTCCAATAGTTTTATTATCTTTAATAACATGGTAACCCAGCCATTGTTAATAGCAAAACAGATGGCTGCACATAATCCATTTTTACAATCGGACCACTTCAATCGCGCTCGCTGGTGGCCAAGAAAATGACCGCGTGACCTTCACGGAGACGCCTCTAAATGAGACAATGAACACTGTATTAATCCAAACGGTTGGCCGGGCTGTGGCTACAGCTGGCAGGAAGCCATCGCTGTGGTCTCTATGAAACACTGTGTTTTAACTCCCACAGTACCCTTAAGATAAAGGGCAGCGTGTGTGTGTGGTTAGTAATGAGAACAGGACTGGAATGTGAAGACTGTTTAACTGAGGCCGGGCTTAGATATGTACAGGACACTGGGATAATTATGAAAGGCTTTGAGGAGCCCGTACACAGAATCTCGATCAGGGTCATATCGGCTCGTGCTTGCACTGAGCTCGGGCTATAGACATCATCGCTTTACAGTCGATAATGTTTAAATAAATGATGTCAAAGAAGTTTTGACTCTCTGGCCGAAAAAAACAGAGTTGGTAAACTCTGAGATTTTTCTCTCATTCTCAGTTAAGATAACTCCAGCAGCACCGAGCATTGCTATTCAGCGTTTCAACACATCGAATCCTCGAGGCAGCGTGTTTCATTTCCTCTCAGGAGTTCTTGAATGTAAAAATTTGTTTGGCATTAATGGTCACTCCAATCTTCTCTTCTTTGTCAATATGGAAAATGAATTAGACAGCACTCTAAATGTCCCAATCAAGTGCTGCAGGAGACGATAGACAGGACTTCTAAAACAAATATCTATAGAACCTCAGATACTGTTTTTTCTGATTGAACTAGCTCTGAAGTTTCACTTGATTTAACAGATTTATAACAGTCATGTTGTTTTGGACTGGTAGAACAGTCCAAAACATACACAAAACTATTAACAATAAATTGTTATTAATTATGACATACAAAAACTAATGTAATGGTTTTATCTCATGCCTAAATAAAACAAATCCCAGATGCCTGGGACTGTCTGGGGGTTTCATTTTGGCAATACACTGGTGGAACGTGTGTGATGATGATAGCTAAGACTCCCTGCTTCCTGCTCTTTACTCTGTGGAAGTGGGAAGATGCTCATTTAACAAGAAATACCTTGAGAATACACAACCGGCGATTAGACTGCCAGTTATAGAGTGAGGAGCTTGGTCTCAGAGTAGAGTCGCTACTCCTCCACACTGAAAGAAGCCAATTGAGGTGGTTTGGGTATAGACCGCTGTCGCCATGACCTGAACTAGATAAGAGTCAGAAAAAGGATGGATGGATGGACACCGACATGGCATGAATTAACACTTCCCCTGCTAGAGTAAAAGTGTTGACCCATCCTTCACGATTTGTATTTTGCTTCCAAAAAGTTGGGTTTTAAAAAGAATTTTGTCGTCACTGACCTCTAAATCACCAACACGTT